AACAACAACAACAACAACAACAACAACAACAACAACAACAACAACAAAAAATCCAAGTTCACAAGTTCAAAAAAAAAAAAAAAGCCCATGCTGGATATGAGGCATATGCAGGCCCACGCCTTTTCGGACCTCTCATCTGGGTCGCCAGATGTTGTGCTGGCAGGGCTGCTAAACATCTGTTTTTCTTTTTTTTTGTGTGTGTGGGGGGGGGGGGAGGGGGGATCAATGCACTGTAAAACCAATCAGGACGGTCAAAGATGGAAGCATCCTCTGAGGTCAGTTCACCAAACAGGATAGAGAAAACGACCCCTGACCCCGTGGATTCCTGCACAAATGACAAACTCCTTCTGTCATCCGTCGGCCGCCGCGTCCCGGCGCCGGATTTGTTGTAAACGGAGCTCTTTAATCAGGTGGGAGGAGGGCGGCAACAGCTGTTTTGAGGAAAAACTCATCAAGACGCGGGTTACGTAATATTCATTAACTCGGGCTGTTTGGTCGCTTCTGCAAACAGCACTCACTGTTTCTGTCCGTTTCTTTCTGACACTTCAGATGTTTCACTATTTTGGAAGTGCAGATGTTCGCAGGCTGAGATTTTAAAATATGATGCTTTTAATGCTTGCCATAGAAAAGTAAAGGCGTATGATTAGGTTTTAGCATGTGTCTGTGTGTCTGTTAGTAAAATATCTCATGAACCCCTGGGCATGATTTAATAAAACTAGCAGAAAATAATCATTAGATGTACATCTACAACTGCTTAATGCATGGAGTGAACCAGATTCAATATGGTCGTCATAACCAAGTGACCTTTAAAAACACTAAAATAACTATAAATCTGTCATTTTGACATATATTGACACAAGATTTATCGTGGTTGTAACTGAGACTGATCCCCACCATATATTCTGAGCACTAATGGATTAAAAAAATAACTTTGTTTAAACTTTTGCCAACAAACGTTTTAACTCATTGTCTGTCTGTTAGCAAAATATCTCATTAATCACTGAACCGATTTTAATGACACCTTCAGATAATTTTATTTGGATATAAGTCCAAAACTGTTTAACTTTTGGAGCCAACCCATTTCAAAACGGCCTCAGAAGATAACAGACTTGATAAAACACAAAAATAACTAGAACACTGTTATTTGTACAAGCATTGAAAGAAGAGTTATCGTGGTAGTAACTGAGTCTGATCCCCAACATATATTCTGAGCACTAATGGATTAAATAAAGAACTTAGTTTAAACTTTTGCCATTACCCAGTTGGACTCAATTGTCTGTCTGTTAGCAAAATATCTCAATAACCATGGTATGGATGTTAATGAAACATTCAGGAAATTTTCATTGGATGTAAGTCTACAACTGATACTTTTTTGGAGCTAACTCATTTCAAAGCGGCCTCAGAAAACAAGTGACTTTATAAAACACAAAAATCGCTATAATCCAGTCAATTTTACAGATGCAGGGCTAAAATTTGATGTGGTGGTAGCTGAGAGTCATTCAAAATATAATCTTCAAGCATTTCTATATTGAAATTATTTAACTTCCAAACACACACACACACACACATTCTCTTACTTTCATCGTGGATGTTCTCCTCGCAGGAGAACCAGATTCCAGTGTGGAACTGCCGGAACAGGAACCGGTCATCCCCGGTCTCCCAGCTGTAAACCACCTTGTTGGGGTCGGTTTCGTTCACTCCATAGTCTATGCACTGGTGGGTCCGCAGCTTGCTGCACTTGGGCTTCGGGACCCTCTGGGTGCCCACGCACCAGTACGTCGTTATGAACGCGGTCACGGCGAAGAACAGGGCGAGGAAGTTCAGGGTGACCGACATCAGGGTCCTGGCCTTCATGGTCTGCGTGCAGGGCCGCAAAGTTCAGGGGAGAACCGTGGAGGAGGAGAGCTGGTTAACCTCCAGAGACAACAGGTGAGCCCAGGTGAGTGAACCCATTTGGCACCCCCCAGTTTTTAACCCCCCATCTCAACAGAAACCAAATCACTGCATCTAAATCCCACGCGCTCCTCCACGAGCCTCCAGCTGCGTCACGTTGTCAGAGGATTTGATGCTCGCTTGCATTAAGAGTGGGATTTTCTTCTGCTGCTCTCCTTCTCTCTCGCCGTCACCGAGGCGTTTCATTCCAGCTGAGCGTCACGACAAGCGGCCAAATGCGAGGCGATTATCAGACCGTGAACATGGCTGAAGTCAGCACGGGGAATAACCTCGAGTTAAAGCTCAGCGCTGTCAAAACATTTCACCTAAACTTATGAAAACCAGACATAAAACAACAACTGTAAAGAATATCTGCACAATATTGTTCTCGTAACTAATGGTGATGCTCGTCACCATCTCTATGTTCTATCACTTAACAGTAGTTGGGTTGTGGAGGTGGAGGATAGAGAAAGAAACCTAAACATCCATCCTTGCAACTCAAATATTTCTTCACCACGACAGACCAAAGCAACTCCCTGAATACTGAGGATGAGAAGACAAGACTCCATCTCCAGCTCCTTCCTACCATCACTCAAGACACCCAGATAATTGAACTTGAACGCCACCTCAGTCAACCATAGACTCTTAAAAATATGGATGACTTTCAATGTCAAGGTCAAGGTTCATTATTGTAATTTGCATCGCATGTGGTACATGTGGTGGGACAAAATTGTGTACACAGGGTACCAGCTACATCCAACAAAAGTATAAATTGTAAAGATAAACTGTAATAAGAGCTAAGATATGAACTAAGAAATACGCTAAACTAAGAAATATGGTAAACACTTAGTGCAAAAACAGTAATACGCCGAACAACAGCAGCACGGACATGTGTCTGGATGAGCCGACCAGAACACGTCTCTTTCGCTGAGATAACCCATCGATCTCACTGTCACAACAGAGGTGTATACTCAAATACAACAAACTTAGAAAGATAATAGACTCAAAACCTTTGTAAAGATATAAAGTGATTTATTTACAGAGTAAATATCAACAGTCACTATATACAGGATGGGCACCCTGGGAACCCTGGAAGGGAAGGAGAGAGGTCAGGGACTGGAGACGAGTGGATGACATTGTAGCTAGTAGTTCATCTTACAGGGTGTTGGTTGGAGAGCAGCGTAGAGAGGGCGGTGGAGGAATCCAGTTCCAGGAGATCCAACTAAGAGGGACGTGGAGGTAAGTGGTAGGAAGGCTGAGGAGCAGCTGGGGAAGATCCACAAGGAGGACTCAAGGTCTACAGGTAGGTGTAGGGGTAGGTGGTTCGAGACAGTCAGTTCAACCCAGGAGGTGCAGGAACCAGGTTCTAGAGAATGAGAGGAGAGCACAAGGTAAGTTTACTTGAGTCTGGAGGATTGCACAAGGAGGCCGAAAGCACAAGTACCATACGGTAAGTAATGCTCCAGCAACGAAGGAAGCACTTCTGCAGCCTCATCCTACAGTCCTGGTGGTGATTAGTGGGAGGACTCTCAGCCGTTGCTTGTTGGCACCACCTCTGGAACCAGGAACCTGTGGAAAGAACTGGAAACCCTACACACTGGTGTGGGATATCCAGATGCTGATTAGACAGCATGATTATTGCACAGGTGTGCCTTAGGCTGACCACAATAAAAGGCCACTTGAAAATATGCAGTTTTTTCACACAGCGCAATGCCACAGATGATGCAAGTTCTGAACGAGCGTGCAATTGGCATGCGTGGAGTGAACGCTGAGTCGGCACAATAAATATCTCGGTAAATAAAGTGAAGTGCTGTTGGATAAGTCCATCTCTCCCACCTTAAGACGTGTTTTGCGACTTCAAACCTTCTACTTGCTGTTGCCAACTGCTGACAAGAGTCATCTGGAGCGGACTCCAGTGACTTGGCAACAGTCGGTTAAATACTGCTTATGACGTCTATGAGGACGGTTAAAGGTTGTCTCCTGAGTTTGTTGCCTCCAATAGCAAAAAGTTAATCCCTGCACTTTGATGTCTGTTGGGTAATGAACATAACCGCAGAGCCTGGAAGAGGAAAATCACTCATCTGTAGTGATGCTATGCACACGCTGCGTACAAAACCACCTTTGATAAGAGTCTTTAAACTATTTGTGTGGGACCTGTCAACATGCAGGGTGGAAGGCAGATATTTGGGACTAAAAATAACCTGATTTTATAAGGCTAAAGTTAGAATAGCCTCTTCTTTATACTTTATATGATATCCGGTTACATTATTTTAGTTTTCTGCCGTGTTAAAATGGCTACAAATGAGACGTTTGAAAATGCCTTTAATAGCCTTCTAACAGTCATTTGGGAGTCTTGTAAGAGTCTACCTTAGAGAAGTTTGTTGCAAAATATCAAAGTTCATGCTCATTAATCCAGGTAGAAAATCCAATAAAGTTCAGTCAGGTCATCTGGATAGTTCCTTTCTTTTTTTATTGGAGACATTTCGTCCTTCATCCAAAGGACTTCAAAGGACAAAGGACTTCAAGAACGAAACATCGCAACAAAAAAGAAACCATCCAGATTACCTGACTGAACTTTGTTGGATTTTCTACCTGGATTACTGAGCATGAACTTTGATGTTTTGAACCTCTTTGGCTAAGGCTGCCTCGGAGGAGTCGACAGGGGAGAGGGCGGGCCCCAGAAACCATCTTATCACCAGTCAACTGGTTGGTTCACTGTGTGATGCTTGTGGGGCTCAGTTCGTTGGGGCTCCTCGGACCGATGAAGTCCTTTGGATGAAGTCAGAGTCAGAGTCAGAGTTTCTTTATTGTCATTCGCACCTCATGTGGTACATGTGGTGGAGCGAAATTATGTACACGGGGTCCCAGTTACATCCGACAATAAAATGTATAAGAAAAAGGATGAAGGATGAAATGTCTCAACAAAAAATAAACCGTCCAGATGACCTGACTGAACTTGGTTGGATTTGTTGCAAAATGTTTGCAGTCGTATTTTAATTCAGTGAGATTCTCAAACTGTCTGACATGCGCTGCTTTTTGCACGCCTCTCAGATTAACGTGGATGTTTGTGATTGTGGTTTCAGTGATCCCCACTTCCTGTGGTAGTCCATTGGGATTTTTTTTTTAAAGTATTTTATAGGATTATACCCTGGAATCACAATTTTTTCCCCCCATCTCAAAGGTTCTTTAGTTTCATCATTCATTTCAAAGTGATTTTTTTAAACTCTTTATGATCATTAATATTGCTACACAGTAGAATGCCAGAAAACGCAACTCATATTTATGAAGTCAGATTTCAGTGACTATTACGCAATTAACTGCTTGATTTACTACAACTCCATTTTTTTTTTACAATATATTTATTTATTTTGTTTGTTTATGTTGTTGTTTGGTCCTCTGTTGCAAAGCAAAAAAGGAGAATTGGAAATGCCCTCCATCTGTCTATCTGTGCATGTTGTGAGCGAGATAACCTGAAAAGCAAGAGAGGCACTGACTTCCATCGACTTCTGTTGTGTGGCAACATCTAGGTGTGAGAAAGGTTCCTTTTGAAAATTGGGTTGCCACATCAAAATCCAAGATGGCTGCCACAATATAAGTACATATATCTGTATATATGTAAATCTTGCGAGCTGGACAACTTCAGAAATAAGCAATATGCCATTTACAGTTGAGTGTGACTACATTTAAGCCGGGGGTCTGCAACCTGCGGCTCTGGGGCCACAGATGTGTTCAGGGTGGACGGAGATGGTGTAGAGGCAGGGCAGCCGACTCGGGACCTGAAGGTTCTGAGTTCTATCCCCAGTCATTGCACACCTTGTGGTGTCTCTGAGCAGGACACCTCATCCCCAGTTGCTCCCCAGGTGCTTTCAACAACTGCCCACTGCTCCACCTGGTGGTGGATGGGTTAAATGCAGAGAGCCAATTTCGCCATTGCATGGGAACATGCAATGATGACAATACATGCATTTGTTTTTTTTTTTTATTATTATTATACATGTGGCTCTGTAGTCTGTCATCAGTGGCTCTTTGAAGCTTTGACCTAAAACTTAATGAAATTTAATTGTATTGAGGTTTATAGCCACAACATAAAAGGCTAGTTTTGTCAGTTTTATGTCAAATTTTAGTAAATTTTGGCCCGATAACTACTAGTAAAATAAGATAAGAACTTTATTGATCCCGCAGGAAATTGTTGAAGTAGTAAGTAACTAGTAAGTAAGTTTCTTTCAGCTGCGCCCTTCTTCAGGGGTCACCACTCACAAGAAAGATTTGACAATTTGTTTTACGCCAGGTGCCCTTCCTGACGCAACCTGGGCTCGAACCCACAACCTCAGGTTTAGAAGACCACGGCACTGTGGCCACCGAGCTACCACAGCCCCACCCGATACTTATTTATTATTCCTCACATAAGCCTGCAGAGTTCAGTGTTTTGATTTTTATCAAAACCAGTATACACTATAAATATAATTCTTCTTTGGTCTTTTGTTGTTGTAAAATGTAAAAATGTCAATATATGATAAAATTCATGATATAATTTTAGTTTTATCATGTCACACACACCCCCTCCCCCCAGCCAGAAAAGCCCCCCCTCTAACAAACTCAGTGGCCCATGGGCCATCAGTTGATAATCACAGTTGTAGCAGGTTTTGTGGCTCCAGACATGTTTTATTTAATGAGCGAACGGGCAGAAATAACTCTTGTGATCAAAATAGTTGCAGACGTCTGATCTATACATAAAAATGTCACTATTAAAAATTGGGTTGCAAAAAATGATGGTCATCGCCATACACATACATGTAAACACACCGTCCTCCCCTCTGATTTGAGGAAACTATGCTTTCTAGTTTTTTTATGTTGGTTAAAAGCCCAGTTTCTTCAAATGATTGGGGTGCCCTAAGATTAATCTATGGTGGCCAAGGCCACCATTAGCCACCCACTGGCTCCGCCTATCTGGCGGTGGATAAAATTAGCTTCCTCCAATTACCAGGATCCGTCACTCTGTGCTGCCTCGAACAAGCAAAAAATAACTGAACTATTCTTATACACAGTATAACTCATCCCCACTTGAATATCTTGCATTACTTTCCATCCCTGTTCACTTCCAGTCCAAAAAAATCTAAAATAAAAAATCTTCTAGAAAACTGAAAACGTATTCAAATCCCTCAGCGATGGGGGACATTGGCATACCTCTTGTGTGTATTTATTTATTTTAATCTTTTTGCTTTGTCTTTGTTGTTTAAAACTTTATAAGTTTCACATCCATGTCTCTATTCTGACCATGTGAACTTGAGCTGATCCCTCCTGATGTCTTAGATGACACATTTCCTTGCAGCATTGGCTTTAAGACCGGAAGAAAAACAATCAGGATTTTAACAATCCTAGTTTCGTACTGTCGCATGCACAGCTGCAGCTTTCGCGTGCACCACGAAGGCCAAGTATTTAAACCCGGAGATTAGACAAAGATACATTTATTTTCACTTTAGATCACATATCTATGCACAGTGCCACCTCTAATCCTATGCGGCATATCTGCCGTGAAATGAAAACGTGTGTGGGTTTACATGTCGCTTTTTGTATTGTGCACAAGTATCTATGCCTAAAGGGATTACGAGCTGGTGCGTGGCATCTTTTGATTTCCCTTTCAATACATCTGAAGCATATGTGGCTTCAGAGTGGAACATGGCGATGCCTAAGCTTTAGAAAGACAGAACTCATTTGTATTTCAGCAGGAACTTCTGCTTAAAGCTGATAAGAGTAGAATTTGCCTCTTAACACATAGCCCCCGAGGATTAGTCCTTATAATCTGCCATTCACTCATCCTCGAAATCATACTGTCTGCTCTGAAATCAGCTTACAGTGACAGTAGATGTTGAGCGAGTGGTTTTATGATTGCACTTGTGAGCTTTACATCAGAGTGATGAATGAGGAATAAGACAAACGACAATTGTTCGGAGGGGTGGTGTTGCTTCCAAACCGCACTGAGAATGAGCCACCTGCTGCTCGGACAACATGCTGCACAGCCGCATACAATCATTCATCTTTCCAATCGTGCTAAACAGATAAAGCCTCTGCTCACACGTGAGCTAACCGATGCCCGGGGACAGAGTTTTGATTAGATACCAATAAAATTGTCAACTGAGCGCTCTGCAGATCTCATGTTGGTGCACGCTGGATTGGGTGAAAAAAAAGATTTGAACAAACAGAGGAGATTCTTGGTGTGAAGTCTCAAGAATCATTTCAGGATTAAATTTAAATCCTAGCATTTTTTGACGGGATGCATATCGCCGGTCATGCCAGAGTTTTAAATTAAAACCATTTTATGTTGGCGTGGTGTTTTGATCAAACCTGGAAAATAACGTTATCTGAAAACTTGTGCGATATTGACATATCTTGCATCATCTGTTGGCTGTTAGAATGATTGTTGGCTACGACCACGCCGCGTTTTAGCTCAAAATCTGTAAATCGGACTGAGGCCTAGTCTTCTGATTGGTCCGTAGACTTCCTCGGTGGGAGAGGGAGGGAGGGGCAGAGCATCAAAGTTTACAGGGCTTAAGGTGACCTGTCGAGGCCAGTCAGGGAGTTGAATTCAGATAAACAGGATTGTTTTGGCGGCAGCACGGTGGCGCAACTGGTAGAGCTGCTGCCTCTCAGCGAGCAGGTCCCTGGTTCAAACCCCGGTCCAGGGGCCTTTCTGGGTGGAGTTTGCATGTTCTCTCCGTGCATGCGTGGGTTTTCTCCGGGTACTCCGGTTTCCTCCCACAGTCCAAAAACATGCATGTTAGGCTGATTGGTAACTCTAAATTGTCTCTAGGTGTGAGTGAGAGAGTGAATGGTTGTTTGTCTCGTTTGTCTCGATGTGTCCCTGTGATGGACTTGCGACCCGTCCAGGGTGTACCCCGCCCCTCGCACAGTGATTGCTGGACATGGGCACCAGCGACCCCCGTGACCCAAAATGGAATAAGCGGGTAAAGAAAATGGATGGATGGATGGAGGATTGTTTTGGGGGCAGGCAGAACTTTACTGATTATTTCTACCTTGAGTCTGTGTCATTCCTCTCAATTCCATATGAGTTCACTTGCTGTGTCCCCCCTGAAGAAGGGAGTAGCCCCCCCCCAAAAATAAAATAAGGGCAGTAATAATTGATAATTCTGAGATCATACAAATCCCCCATTTTTACAGCCAAAAATGTTAAAACTTACCATAAATGTGGTAAAAATGTAAGGTTTTTACAACGATAAGAGATGAAGGGCGTTGATAGTGATCTCTAACAGTGTATATGTTGTGATGATCCCACGTGCAGCGATTAATTTGAGCCGGATCTTGCCAGAAAAGGATCTGGGAACGCTCTTATTTTGACAGGGTGTCCGGTAACTGCTTGCTTGGATCCGATAACACAGTCTTACTAAAAATGAAGTTATGAACAAATATGATTGCCTTGAATGATTAAACTTATACTCAGTATATTATATACGTATTGCAGTATAATATATATTATACTGCAGTTTACATATGCAGTATATTATACTGCATATGTATGAAAATAATTACATAAACACTGAAAATAATTACATAAACACTCATTTTAAACACAACAGCCTCTTACAAGCTTCTTAATATCCCATACAAGCTGCTTCTTCAAGTAAACATTTCCACTTCTACTCGTAAAAAATCTCCACCCCTAAGAGTCCAAAGTCATAATGCAATTTTACACACACACACACACACACAAACAAAACAAAAAAAAAAAAAAAAAAAAAATATATATATATATATATATATAATTGAACAGCACAACTAAATTGCAAGTCAGTTCAACAGTTTAAGTGGGTCATAATTTTTTTATTTATTTATTAAAAATACAATAGAAATGTGTGATATTTATTATTCGGAGATTGGAGCAGGAACGAGCGAGTGGTAGGGGTGAGTGCAGAGCTAACCTATTCAATTAAATTCAGTTCAGTTTATTTATATAGTGCCAAGCTACAACAGAGGTTGTCTCAAAGCACTGAACAGAAACATTCATATATAAAAATAACAAGTTAACACTATTCATCTAAGCAGCAGACTGTTTTGAATTTAACACCATCACAGAACTCTCATTTTGAGCAAGCATGAAGGCGACAGTGGAAAGGAAAAACTCCCTCATGAAGGAGAAACCTTTAGCAGAACCAGGCTCAGGACAAGAGGCCATCTGCTTCGACCGGCTAGGTTTGAGAGGAACAGGAAGAAGGAACAGATACACAATGGCAGGTCAAGAATCATGTTAAGATAGAAGTAGTATCAAATGAAAAAAAAACTATTCAATTTTAACAATTAATTTAAGGAAATGGGGTAATTTTTTCCTCCAGTAGTCTAAGCCTATAGCAGCAAAACAAGCCAATCCGAACTAAAGGATTTATCAAAAAAAAAAAAAAAAAGTCTTAATCCCAATCTTAAAACTGGACAATGTGTCAGCCTCATGGACAGAAACTGGAAGTTGGTTCCACAAGAGAGGAGCCTGATAACTGAAAGATCTTCCTCCCGTTCTGCTTTTGTAAACTCTAGGAACCGCGAGCAAGCCTGCAGTCTGAAAGTGAAGTGCTCTGTTAGGAAAATATAGAACAATAAGATCTTGAAGCTGAAATGGAGCTAGGTTGTTGAGAGCTTTGTAGGTTAGAAGCAAGATTTTGAATTCTATTCTAGATGTGACAGGGAGCCAATGGAGAGAAACTAAAACTGGAGAGATATGATCTCTCCCACTAACTCCAGTTAAGACTCTGGCAGCAGCATTTTGGATTAACTGAAGACGTTTAACTGAAGCCTGGAGGCTTCACATGTGGAGTCAGACAACGAGCAGGACAGTACATAGATATGTACAATACATATAAACATAGATGTTTAACAACCCGGTAAAATACACCAAAATGCAGAAAATCGCGTCTACTTTATTCAGAATTTTCTGAGGGAGGACCCCCAGACTCCACCAGCCTGCCCGCTATTTGCGTTCTGGCATTGATTGGTTTACAAATTAAGCCCAGTATACGCGTTATGAACATGTGTAAACTAGATATTTGTATATGTATAATCGTAAATGTGTTACCGGAGGAGTTGCATAAAAAGATAAAAGCAATTTTTAAAACAGGAGAAAACAGTTTCTAAAGAAAAGAGGCAGATTAAGAAACACTCTTTAGAACGTTACGCGTGTATTGACTGTTCTTTATTTCTTTTAAGAGTCGTTTCATACTTTTTTATACATGTTCAAAATAAGTCTTATCGATCAGGTTAAAGTATCCGACACTCTGGTGCAAGAACGAACAGACAGTTTCATGCGGGCAGGGCTCAGACAACCGTTATGGTTGTGCTTCGTAGAAAAGTTGGGATTACAAAGACACTTGGGCAGACATCTGGCGCAACGTAGCAGATGGTCCAGTCCAGATGAAACTATAGAATGTCTTATACAGTCCACGCTAAAAATAGATCTTAATGCTTGGTGTTGAAAAACCAAAACACTGTCCAGTTGAGCGGATGCGGTTGACGTCCTTTCCTCAGAACTTGAATCTTCATTATTCAGTAGTTTTCTCAGAAAAAGTCGGTGGCGTAATCCTCGAAAAACATTGTTAGATTAACAAGTCCCCCCATCATTAGGTCCTATTAGCCACGTGAGCATTTACCATAATTTATTTATGACAACAAAAAAAAATCTAAACATTTCATTTTAGCTATAGACAAAGCAAACAAATACAGGCATCTTATTTCACAGCAGCTTCAATCCAGTCTGACGCAGCAGACACACACATGGAAGGACGAGCAAGGAACTAATGTAAATAGATTAATCACTGCGTGTCAGAGGTAAGATCTAGTATAAAACAGGAATTTCATATTGCTTACATGTACAGAGTCTACTGCCAGATTCTGCATAAATAAATTCTTAATGACAAAACATGTTACAAGTATTTTCATGTGTGCACAACTCCTGACTCTTGTACTCTGTACCTTGCAAATATCACAAGTCAAGGCAGACAACGTAAAAACAGATTAAGCACATACAGTAGACTGGAAATTTGGCTTTTTTACAAAAAAAAATATGGGAAATGTTGTAGGGTCCTAGTAGGCTGTACTCCTTTGATGTTGTGGCGTAACAGATCTACGTGGAGCTGGAAACAGCCAGTTTCTTCAAGTGATCCATGAAGACTTGTAAGCTGACATCATCAGTGAGGATCGGGGCTCCTGACTCCTACAGTGATAAAAACAACACACTTTAGTTTTCAAACAAATCTGTTCACAAGCTCTAAGATCACTTATGAAACATTCACACTATTGTGATCCATTTTTCTCCTGGACGTTTTTCAGCATCTTTCTCGTTCCACAATTTTTGTACTATTTCAACAAATCGTAAATCAAAACGTTCAGCTCATTCGGGACAAAGGTGCTATGATTTTTGGTATTGGTGCAACTTTAGCTTTTTGAAATATTTAGCCTTTTCTGACACTTTTTTCCTCATAGAAAATGAATTGAGCTCATTTTACATCCTTCAAATCTTTAGATCCGTTTACAACCTTTTGCAGCTCCTTTCACATTTGGTTCTGGTTCAGCTTCTTTCAGCTTCCTTCTGCAAATTTAAACTTTTTTTCAGCTACTTTCAGCTGTTTTATGCTCCTTTCAGATTCTTTCTATTAACTACAATATTTTTGTGCTTCTTCTAACATGTTTCTGCTAATTTCAGCTTATTATGCTAATTTCAGCTTACTTTTGCACGTTTCAGCTTTTTCTGCCATTTCAGCTGCTATATACAGGTAGCTGTTTTTATGCTAATTTTAGCTTTTTTGACTAAATCTAGTTTTTTTGCACTCATTTCAACTTTTTTCTCAGCCTAATTCAGCAAAAATGTGCTCTCTCCACTGCCTTCTGGTAACTTGCTGTTCTAGCTGTTTTTCAGCAGTTTTTTTTTGCTAATTTCAGCTTATTCCGGATAAGTTCCACTTTTTTGTGCTCATTTCTGCTTCTTTCAGTCTAATTGGGTAAACGTGTTTGTCCTGTTTTTTCTGCTAATTTCAGCTTGTTCTACCTTTTCAGCTATATTTTTTAGCAAATTTCCGAAGTTTTCAGATAAATTCACGCTTTCTTTGTAATTTCTGCTACTTTCCGCTTAATTTAACTTCTTTCCACTAATTTCAGCTTGTTATGCTCCTTTCAGCTGCATGAACCACTGCATTACAGGTTTTAAATTGAAAGGATTTCAGCTCATGTAGTCATTTAATACTATTTATCTTTCATTTATTGAACTACATTATCACAGTGCAGTTACCTCTCAGTATATTAAGTTTAGCTCATCCAAACAGCCAAAACACCTTGTTATTGTTAAAATAATAATTGTTCTCTTTATTGGTTGAACGCAGCGTCAGTTTAATCCCTGGATCATCGTTGGATTGGATGGATTTAAACTCCCCACCCTCCCATTTTTAGATAACGGAAATGGAGGAAAGAGACCTTTAATCCCTCCTGCCCCAACAAATTTTAAGACCTTTGAGTTAAGCATTTAGGACCAACTTACACATTTTGTTTATGAATTTAAGACAGTTTAAGGCCTTAACTTTAGATACATGAATTAAAAAAGTTATGACTTTTTAAAGGATGCGCAAACTCCCTGAGCTTAATGCCGTTTTATTTTAGATTTTAATCTTCCATTTATAGTCAAAGGTCAACTAATCCCTAAACCAGTGTTCCCAGACAGACGGGCATCTTTTGAGACGGCAGATCTGATTGTTTTTCTTCCCACATTTTAAGCAGTTCTAGGAATTTTTAAGGTTTTGTTTTATTAAATATATATTTATATTTGTATAAGGTTATGAAATCTCTGTAGGTTCTTGTTTTGCTGAAGCAACAAGAAAGACAATTGAATTTTATAAGACAGCATCCAAAATGACACTAAAGTCACATGAGGAATCTAAATAAAACAAAATAAAAAAAAATAAAAATAAACATTTTGCAGCTGTACCTGTCCCCATGCGTAGAGGTTGTTGTGGGTCTGTGATGGGTTGACTTTGGAGAGCAGGAAGCGAGCCTGTGAGCCTCCGTGCTCGGTGTCGACGTACCGAGGCATGGGGAAGCGCGTCTGCAGGATCTCCTGAGCGTCATCCAGAGGAGCCTGGAGCAGCTGCTTGAAATTCTCATACTCTGCCATTTCCTGGTAGCCTGCCTTTCTCCACTGAGCTATGGTCTGAAATGAAAACAAAAGATGTCCACTTTAACAAGCACTGATCTGCCTTGGGTAGAAACAAACAAAACATCTGCTAGAAACAAACAACGTTTGTAAAACTTAGGTTTCTAAAGTTAGACAAATTGTACTCGTTTATAATCTAGTGTCTCACCTCTCCGTGGTAAATAACCAGCTGGAAGAAAGTGTCCATGAGCAGGATTCGATCCGGCAGTATGCTGCTGCTGTCCAGGAGCACGGGCTGTGGGGAGCAAACCACACATTTACAGTTTACAACGCTTCTGCATCAAAACACTCGCTTCAAGAACGGCTCCGCTGCTCTGCTACCAGCTGGACGCGACACGGAGAGCAGCGTGAGGGGGGAACGAGGCTGACCTCTGGTGGTCCGTAGAAGGAGTACGAGTAGAGGATCGGCTGGATCATGATCAGGGACTGGGTCAGGTCCTGTCTCACAAAGTGGTGCCTGTAATAGGAGGACTCGTCTGGACTGTTGTTGAACACTTGCAGGAACGGCGACCGACGAAGGTGGAACATAAACTGTAGGCGGGAGAGAAAACCGGTAATTAGATGAGAAACAAAACAAACAGAGAACAAAATATTAAATTAACGGTGCCACTTTACAATAAGGCTCCCCTTAAAGACTGCTAGTAAATAATTTATAGATATGTTATTAATTCCTTTATAAACACTTTATAAATCATTAATATATGCTCATTATGCATTCATTAAGGGTGACAGAGACAAAACTGACCAGTTTCTTGCCAAATCTGTTCACCTATACATTTCATCTACAGTTGTTATATTAAACATATATTAGTTGTAGATACTTAAAATGATAAAGTACAATATTACATGCTAAAGAAATAGATTTACAAATGCTTATTGTGCTTACAAGGTAGTAACTTAGTGTGAAATGTTTCATATAACAACTCTAGATTAAATATATAGGTGAACAGATTTGGCAAGAAACTGGTCAGTTTTGTCTCTGTCACCCTTAATTAATGCGTAATAAGCAGTTCTTAATGATTTCTAAAGTGTTAATAGAGGAATTAATAACGTAGCAGTTTATAAGAGAAGCCTTATTGTAAAGTGGTACCAAATTACCTTTAAACAAAAAGGTTCTGTTTATGATTTATATTTCCACTAGAGGGCAGGTTTACCTGCGGGTAGAGGGACAAGGACTCCGACAGTTTGAAGGAAGTTGGATCGTCTTTGTTGAACTGGCCGAACTTCTGACACTGAAACGATGGGCGGTGAGACATCGTTTAAATACTGAACATACCAAACACAACCCTAATTATTATGAAAATCAATAACGTTGATTGCTAAAACATATCACTGTCAGCTAGGTACTGCCATTGTTGCCTCAAAACAAACTGGCACTGGTGCTTTGGGCTGCCACTCACCAGGCGGATGAGCTGCCTGTCAAGCCAGCGCAGAACGTCTGGTCCCTCCTCCGACTCTGCCCGGAAGACGCCCAGGCGAGCCATGAGCACCGCGGCTGCCTCTTGGTCAAACGACGATTCAATGTGCTGAATCTGAGACTGAGCGTCTGCCCAGCTTTAGTTCAGAGAAACAAACAAAAAAGGACAAATGAGACAAAGGACAGTGGAAACAGGAGAGGCGAGCGTGGGTGCGGTGAGATGACGCGCAGAGAATTCAAGCTTTGATGGCACTGATTTGTAGATATGCAAATCTTTTGTGTGAATATTATGTATTGTGTGTCAGCTTCAAGTGACTGATGCTCATAATTTACATTCCAGTGCGCGGATATTTTCCACTCGGTCAACGAGTTTGTGAAGAACATACCAGGCTGACACTTGACAGATCCACCTGACCTGGTATTCAGTCGTCAGAAGTAATCAGACTGCACTCGGATAACCCTCTAATTACAGGTGTGGAATTAAAAACATGCTCACTCGGAGCATCTTCTAAGGTTGTCTGAACCCTTTTATCTGCGGTGGTCTGAATACAATCAACCGTGAGCCTCGATCAGGAGGATGCAGGTAAAGGTTTATGGATGCTCATCGCTGCTGATGTTAAATTAACGTTTAACGCCGAGTGACTGTCTGTGAGGGCTGATCAACATTATAAAATCACTTCCTGTACACTGCCCGCTGCAGATCTTCACGACCGGGGCTTCAATGAAACATCTGGGTAAGCCTGTGTGAACGTCTGCCTCGTCTTCGTGTGTGGCTCTTTTTAAGTTCCAACTGAACTGACGTGACCTTTAGAGCGAAACAGCTGATGATGGTGGATTTTTTACAAGTACAAATATCCCGTCTTTACTGAGCTTTTTTTTTAAAATTTATTTCTTCCACATCACATCCGTTATGGAAATAAGCTCACCCATAAAGAACTACAAAAGAAGCGACTCAAATGGACTGTTGTCAAAAGATTATAGTTCAGATGTCTGGATTATTTTTTAGAAACATGAAAAAGTGCCGCTCAGCTGACAGACCACTGTGCGACTTGGCTGTGTATGTATCTGCGTACAGAACTGATGTCCAGCCAAGCTGCTCATTTGTAATCGACTCAGTCAAGACAAATATAAAGTGATGTTCTGAACTACATTTTGTTCCATCTTTAATCCTTACACGCAGACACAATGAAATCAGAGCCTTACTTCCGGGCGATGGTGGTGACCCGTATCCTCTTCTGCGTGTTGGAGTGCTGGTACTGGGTGATAAATTGGATCGCCCCTCGGCCTCCCTGGGGAATTGGTGCATTGTGCTACAGAGAAAAAAACAAAACAATTATTCCTTTCTTGCATGTTTAACAAACCGCCTCTCGCTGCAGGAAGAACACAACAAGCCACTGTTTTAGTAAAATAGCAGCATTATTCTCAGTCGCAGCTACAGCTCTGTTTGGGTGTCACTCTAAGTATGCACTCAGCACGCCTTTGCAATCTTGTGATCTAAAAACCGGATTTACCTGATTCACAACTTCAAAGTAAATGCCCAAAGTTGTGGAGGGGTTGAGACCGCACACTTTCCACTGGCTTGTGCCACCAATACCCATCTCCTACACGAAACAAAGAGCACATTGTGGTAAACACCAGCGAATGGATAGTTCTCACGTTACATTCAGGAGCGTACGGAATCCGAGCTCCCCGGTGTCGTATGTGGAGTGACTTACGTTCTCAGAAACACAGGCTCCCTTGGAGTGGAGAGAAACACTTGGTCCAATGGCTCCACATACCTTCAGCTCTCTTGAGGTCTAAAACACAAAATGTCTCAGTAAGTCTTAAAAACTCATTTATAAGAGACACAGGTTTATATTATAAGCATCAACATAATTTCATGTGACTGGGCAGAACAGTGAAATTATTTATTGTGCGAATGTTTGTGAATCATTCACACTGTTGTGATCCAGTTTTCTTCTGTACGTTTTTCTGCGTGATTCTCGTTCCACAATTTTTGAACTATTTCAACAAATCATAAACCAAAACATTCAGCTCGTTCAGGAGAAGGGTGCTAAGACTTCTGGTATCGGTGCATCTTTAGCTTTTTGAAATATTTAGCCTTTTCTGCCACTTTGTTCCTCATATAAAATGAATTAAGCTCATTTCACATCCTTTAAATCTTTAGATCTGTTTACTTTTTACTGCTCCTTTCACATTTTGTTCTGGTTTAGATTCTTTTAGCTTCCTTATGTAAATTTAAACTTTTTTTCAGCTACTTTCAGTTAATTTCAGCTGTTTTGTGCTCCTTTCAGATTTTTTTCTCCCAACTATAACATTTTTGTGCGTCTTCCAACTTCTTTCTGCTAATATCAGCTTTTTATGCTCCTTTCAGCTTATTTCTGCAGGTTTCAGCTTTTGCTACTATTTCAGCTACTATATAGCAATTTTATGCAAATTTATGCTTTTTCAATAATTCCATATCTTTTGCACTCATTTAAACTTTTTTCAGCCTAATTCATGAAAAATGTGCTCTCTCCATTTCCTTCTGTGTATTTTCAGCTTATTTCAGCTTTTTAGCTACTTTTAAGCTTTTTTGTTGTTGTTGCTAATTTCAGCTTTTTCAGATAATTTCCACGTTTTCTGTTTATTTCAGCCTAATTTGGAAAATGTGTTCTTTCTGGTTTCTTCTACTAATTTATGCTTGCTCTATATTTCAGCTAGCTTTTTAGTATTTTAGCTAATTTCAGCTGTTTTCTGATAAATTCAAGCTTTTCTTGTTAATTTCTGTTACTTTCAGCCTAATTAACTTTTTTATGCTAATTTCAGGTTGTTATGCTCATTTTAGTTTTTTTCTGCTAGTTTCAGCTTTTTCTGCTACTTCAGCTAATTTTAGCTTTTTCAGCTAATTCCACTTAATTTTTTTAAAGCTCATTTCAGCAACTTCTGTTTCTTTCTGGTAGTTTAAGCTTCTTTCTGCCTTTTCAGCTACTTTTTGTTACTTTCATATTTTTTAGCTAATTTTTGTGATCATTTCTGCTTAACAGTATTTAAATCTAATTCAATAAATATGTGTTCTTTCTGCTTTCTTCTGCTAATTTAGGCTTTTTATTCCATTTCAGCTACAATTCAGCATTTTTGTGTGTTAATTTCAGCTGTTTGTAGCAAGTTCTTTAGCAATAAGCATTCACATTACATTTTCACAGGAAATGCAATTTCTCTAGTTTACCTTGACTTCTAGGACGCCTCCAAACGCCATGCGGAAGTCTCCATTGTAGTCCTTACTAAAAACTCTCTGGAAGGTTTGTTTGAACAGAGACGTGTTGAAAGAGTCTCCCATCACGATGTGTCCCCTGAAACATAAAATGTTACAAAACTTGTTAGAACTTCAAAGAGAACCACACTTGCAACAAACTAAAGCACAAGTTCTGACGTACCCTGTGAGATTGGACAAACACTTCATCTCCAGCAGTCCAGTCTGGTCTAGAGCGCAGGCATAGATGTCAACACTGTGGCCGTTTGCTGCAGACCGGTTGGCCAAGGCTTCAAAATACTGTGGACAACAAAACAAGTTAGATTCGTTTCATGTATTTTCTGAAGCGTTCCTGTCAATACATTCCTCATGGAATACTTTTTTAATTTCAAACACAAGTACAAGTACACAGATTTACAGATTGTTCCGTGAAATCTACCTTAGTAGATTTCTTCAAATGCCTTGCGTTGTCCTTCTGAATGTCATGCCAAGAGCGGATGGGGGTTTTCAACTCGTCTCCCACCACCATGCCTGGTCCCTGGGTGGGCGGCCCGCCAATGAAAAGCATCACACGAGCCCCCGTGTTTGGGAATGTCCCCTGAGGAAAAAGAGCAGGAGTTGGATTTCAGTGACCAGACTTTTTATTACGTTTGGTGCATCATAAACAGATGAACAAAAGCCTCTGTTCATTTTTTATGAACATTGTGGTTGGTCAAGAACACAACTTCAATATTTAATAACCATGTCAAAAATTAAAAATGCAATTTTAAGAAAGTTGTTTATTTGATTTTAGCCCCACTTGAAATACTTTTCATCATAGCAGTGTTTTTCTGCACATCTGAAAAAGAAACCAGTTTTAACCCAGTGTACACTAATCTGATGAAACTAATCCGAAGGGCAAGTCTCTCAATCTGAACCGACAACAGCCAAATCCAAAGTGCAAGAGTCTGGAAAAGTCCACGACGGGACGAAGCATTTGGCGAAGAGCCACATAGAGCAGCTGCAACAAGCATGTTAATATGATTTAACTTTATGATACGCTCTACCCAAACAGTGACGAAGTGCTGAAACCTTCGTTTCGCAGCTCGTTTCATGTGTAAGACACAAGTCAGTGAACGTGGAGTCACTGAAAGAACAAAAGTCTGGGCACATCTCCCATCGACTAAGCTGGAGAATGATCTCTTGCAGTTATATAACCACAGATTATGAGAAGAAGAGGAGAGAGGATAATAATGACGGGGGCTGTAGACAGAAGGCAAACAGGAACTAGCCTTTGAACCGTCAGCACAAACCTGCTGCTGATATCAGGCAGTGAGGAACTTTCTGAACATGTGGCATGGGTGGATTGAAGAGGCTAAAGTTCAAGTGACTACAAAACATCTCAAATGACTCATATGCTAATTGAAGTGTTCTGAGAAAGCATTTTCACATTCCAGCATTACTGTATCAGATTTGTGTTTGTTGTACCTCCAGAAGGCCGACAGCAACAGACAGTGCGACACCGGTGGAGCGGAGAGGCCTTTTGCCCTGAGGGACAGGCCAGGGATCTTTCTGAAGCTCTCCAAGCAAGTCTGTCAGATTCATATCCACAAGATGCACGGGCTGAAGGAACCTGGATGATCAATCAAAGTGCTTTAAGTACACAAACTGCTGAAAGCAGTTTTTGAAAGTACTATTGATCATCTAGTGGGAAGTGGTCTTTAGCCATACTTGCAAGAGGCAGCGGCGGCGTCCTGAGGAGCCACAGGACGACCTTGCTGTCCTGAAGCTGCCGGCTTCGTCAAACCAAGCATCTCCTGGGGGGGATAAAGAAAAAATAAGCTCCTCGTTTCACAGAGTACAAAACCATTTGCAAGCAGTTTTGTTCCCTCAGCATGGACTTCCCAGTCTATTCAGTTGAATTAAATATCACGCTAAATGTTTTCTTGAGATCCCAGCATGCTCACAAATCTTCTGCCCTTTTTGAAAAGCCCTGGACTGACCTGGATCTGTTTGGAGGAGAGGTCCTTGGTGCCCCTGAACACGTAGCTCTTGGCGATCCCCTCACAGCTGAGCTCATGAACCTGAACCATGCGTCCGAATGTGATGAGGCCCACCAGCGCGTTGGGCGGTAGCAGGCTCAGGGACATCTGCAGGGACTCCTTGAGGGCCTGGAGGTCCTCTTCTTCCAAACATGTGTCCACGACATACAGGAAGATGAGAGGGGCTGCGGGCCCCCGCTGTAAAGAAACAAAGAAAGATTCATTTACACTAGAATCATTTCAAACGTGATAAATATACACGGAGATTAAACAAATTTTAATTTCGCTGTCTGCAAGCTGAAAATGTTTGGTTGCAAATCAAAAAGCTAAAAACTGTTGAACATAATTTCCTGACTATAAAAAGGTGTCATTTAATCATCAGTAACTTTTTAAATAATAAATTGAACTTATGGCTAATATTAATGCATCAACTTCATTAGACTTCAACTCAGTAGCAAAATTTAAACAATTTGATGGATTTAAATCTACATATAAAACTGTACCTCTCACCAATGGGATTTATTAATACTCTTTATGCAGAATATATTTAGTACAATAAGTATCTGGGTGAGATAAAAGTGGAGACAGGCATTTACCTGTACTATGTACTCAATGGTAGAAAATTGAGGCATGAGTTCAGCTGGTTGGTTCACGTCTGATATGCCTGCATAGGAGGGCGGAAACTGCACAAACACAAAGATTCAGCTGAAGCAATCTAATACAGGAATGTAGACGAGCCACAGTGAAATGAGAAACTTTAAATGCGTTTCGACAGCTAGAAATTAGAGGAAAAAAATAAAAACCATTGTCGTCGTACTTACAGGATTTCTCTGGAAGCAGAAGTTGCACGCCCATATTTTGGCTCTGAAGTCAACTTGACTGTAAAAGAAGAATAAAAATGTTTGCTTTAAAACTGTCATGTATAAAACTGACTTACAGTGTCGTGTATAATGAGTTACAACTTAGCATCTTGTAAAAAAAAAGTACTGGAAATGTTCAATCTAACTAGCTAACCAATAAGTAAATCAACAATAAAAAACTGATTTTTGGCAACGAACTGCGTAAAACTTTTTAAAACTTTTTAAAACTTACCAAAGTGGGTTGAGCACAGCTTTGCAGTTCGCCCGGCTGCACACGACTGGCTCATACTGAACAGGTGGCAGGTTCGGCCTTTCCTTTAGAGGTGTAAAGAGGCAAGAGACTGGAACCACTAATCTAGTGGCTTCCAGACGGCTGGAGGGCCAAAGGTTCCAGCTGAACCTCACACCATCTCTGTCCTCGTTCTGTTGGATGAACTCCTGGTAGGTCGACATCACCGATCTTCAGCAAAATAAATAAATAAATAAACAAATAGTGAGGCAATCAGTTCAGTAGAACCAACTTCGCTGCTCCAAACTTCCTACGGTTCTCTCTCTTCACTCTACCTGCTCTCTCCTTATAACTACAGTGAACGTCTCCTTTTTATACATGCAACGTTTTTTTTGTGTGTGCTAATTTAAGACGGGGCTGACGCACACATAAGGCGTCAGAAAACCTGTTCACCAAGTTTTCATGACGAGGAAAGCAGATGAAAGAATTCCCAAAATGAATGAGTAGGTGCGCCCAAACCTTTGATCAGTACAGTATTTATATTTATTTTAGGCTATTCCTTTTTTAAACATTAGCGACACCCTATGCAAAGCATCACTGTGGCAGCGGTATCACTTTTACCAGGGGACACCGATCGTGCAAATTTCAGAAGCATTTTAAAACGCATAGAAAAACAAGCAGACTAACTTTAGGACATTTTGAGAATAAAATAGTCTAAAGTAGGTTCCCAAACTAAAAAGATGTGTGGCCCTAACTGTTGCATGCTGAAGTGTACTAACAATGCTGATAAGCTACAAAGTATATCAATAATTATATCAATGAAGGAGGTTGAGGTTCCAAGTTATAGGTCTTTCGATAGGAGCATTCAAAGCTGAAGTTTGAACCGATAAAAGGTTTTGAAATGTTCTTGTAAAACTCAACAAACCTTCGACCAAAAAAAAAAGTACTCTATTGATAGTGTAGAAAACAATGCAGGCATTGACGTAATGCATAAAAATAGAAATACTACAAGCAGATTAGAGGTTTAAAAATAATGTAGAATGTTAAACAAAGTTAAAAAAGGTACACAGCTTATATGTATTCACTTCCTTGTCTAAATGCTTCAGCTGTTTGTAAAGGATCAAAAACTGGAACTGAAAATCTTGAAGACATGACACAAACTTTGCTCTGACATGTGTCAGCTTTTTCAGTCTGACCCAATAAAACCAGAACTTACACACAGAAAAAATATATTTACCCTGTTCCATGTCTTATATTTCAGTTTATGTTATGAAAAAAGTTTTTTTTTTGGTGGGGATTATTTAACAGTTTTGCCAAATCACTTATAAAGTAATCCTTTTAACCCTGATCCTTACGAGATGTCAGCTTAAGTTGAAGAACATACTGTGAAATAAATAAATTAAAAAACAAAGAAGGGCTTCTCTTTGCCCTGGGAAAGTACGGGGAAACACAAAAAAAACGTTCCTGTTCGGGGTAAAAGTAAGAACTTGCACACACTCGATCAATAAAATGAGCTACAAGCCACGTACATCAACCCTGATCCAGACTCTGGTGACAGGGACCACAATTTAAGGTTTGGTCTCATCCATTCGTACGAGATAGTAGTTCTATCCATTAAACTTCAAAACATTGAAATATTAAAATAGTACAACACGTCTTGATGCTTAAGCTAACGCCACCTTCGCGGATGAGCTAGGCTACCGGAATGTAGCATTAACCCACTTCCCGTCAAATGGAAGCTATAAAAAAAAAGGGGCGACCTACTTATTTTAAGACAAAATTACCTTACCTTTTATATCAGGTTGGCTTCAAGGATAAACCGCAGCTTAACAGACTGTCGTGTTCGAGATGAATTACAGCATTTGGAGTTAAAAACAGGCAAACGTAAATGACAGAAAGACGTCTTTCAGCCGGCCGGTTTCTCACTTTACTAGAGCGACGTGTTACTCTGCCTATTGGTTGAGCTTGTTTGACGTCATGCACGCGTGCGGGGCCTTCTGGGAAGTGTAGTTCAGCAGTTTTTGCCTACATATACAGTACTGTATGGAAGGTGTGTTGTTATTTTTTTTTATTTTTTATTATATAAGTTATTTCCCCCCATGGGTAAACGTTTTATCAATTTTATTGAAACTTGCACAAAGGATCTCTGCGTGAATGACTCGGAGCCAATATTCAATTCAATTTCAATTCAAGCTTTAGGTTATTCTCATTGAGGCGCGAGGACTCATTTACAAGAGAAACTTGCTTTAAACAAAGAACACAGATGGCAGCAGCAGTAGAGAATAATAAAAAAAAAGCATATAAAATAAAAAGTAAATGGAAGAAATTATATAAAAAAACGAAACAAAAACAGCTACATTATAGAGCAATTATAAAATACTAAATACAGGAACATGTCTGCATTGTTTTTTGCCATGAACTTAGCAGTTGCTTAAAGTTAGTCAAGGTCAAGAGCTTCAGATCTGGTATTCCAGGATACAGGAGCGGAGTAGGAGAAGGCCCTATTGCCTATTCGGTCTGCACTAATGTCACTGCAAGTAATTATGAGAGTGCACGCTGTAGCTGCACTCATGAAGTGACATGTAGGAGAAATACGAAGGCAACCGACCAAGAAGTGATTTAAAGATGAAAATGTACCAGTGTGAGATCCATTTTCAAGATGAGTGCCACAGCCGGACTTCAGGAAACAATAAATGGCTATAATTCAATAAATTTACTATGTTGCCCTTAAATTTGGTGTGGTAGCTAAGGCTGATGTCCAACACATAAAGTGAGGTCTTTGGTTAAAATGCTGTCATTAACTTTTTGGTGCAAACTCTGTTTGTTAGCTAAATATCTCATAGGCCTAACATAGTGGACAGATTCAAATGAAACTTCCAGGAAATCATCTGTGTATGTACATTATAAATAATTAACTTTTGGAGTCAGTCCAATTCAAGATGGACTCCACAGTCCACAGACCTTAGAAAATACAAAATGGCCATAATTCAGTCAAATATTGTCCAGATTGCTCCAGATCCAGAATATGTATTCCAAGTGCTAATATTCACACATTTTTTTTCTTAAATTTTTAACTTTTAGTGTCAATCTTGTTTGTCTTTCAGAAAGTAATTATTGGATATACATCTGAAACTTGTTAACTATGGGAGTGGATCCAGCTCAAGATGACCACCTTAGCCAACTGATATTAGCCACCACGAAAAATTAATATTCAGCTAAAATTTGATGTGGAGTCACAACACTTTTACTCTGAGCGTGACATTATTGTATGAGATTGTTCAAAGCAGTATTTTCAAGATTTGATCAAAAGCGCTCTTTCTCACCAAATAAATGATGTCAGTTTAAAATTGACACGATAAACATTTATTCAAGAAATGCTACACTTTACAGTAAGTTAGGCCTAACTTTAGTAAAGCACTTAGTATAGCCTATATTAGTGAGAGCAGCAGGGATGCTATATATATATATATATATATATATATATATATATATATATATATATATGCAAATATAACATCACACAAAATGACACCAGATTTTAGAGACAAATGTTACTTTTTCATTATTAAAAGTTGGATAGGAAAACTAATATTTTTTTCCTCTTTTATACTAGATTACTTGTTGGAATCTGGAGTTTAAAGCTATTAATGAATACAAAAAAGCAAATAAAATGTTTAGTTTTTTGGGGGCCTCCTGTTCCAATGAGCATTTGATGTTTATTTTTTATGAACATGGAGGTAAGTTTAATTCTGTAGATAAATTTGTCTTCGTTAAAACACTTTGAGGTTCAAGTGTTGTTTTCGTTTGTCTTTTAAAGGTCAGTGTTTGTGCTGCTGGACTGTTCGTGATCATGATCTCGAACTTTGGGTTTCTGACAAGTGAGTGGGAATAAAACCTAAGAGAACAGACCTTTATTTCAAATTCAAATAGAAAAATAGACCAGGGTCTTCTTGCAGCTGGATCCTTATGGCAGCTTGGAGTTTTTTTAAAAAAAAAAAAGCTTATTTAAAAAAAAAACATGAGATAATCTTCAGTTTTCACTGAAGACTGCTTTGGCTGAACTCCGCCGTTAGGGGGCGCTGCAGCAGAGGTGTAGTTCTACAGAGAGGCGAACCTCGGGAGGGAGAAAGCAGTTAAAGAGAGGAGGAGAGAAAGGCAGAGCGGTTCCCTCTCCGTGTGCGCCCCCCGTGCACAGATTCCTCTCTCCCCTCTCTGCTCCGAGCACCGGGCGTGTTTCTGCTGGAGCTTTTCTCACTTTCAAACCAAGTGGATTTGGAGTCTGCACCAGGACCGCACCTCTCCTCCCGCTCGGCTCCGAGGATGATGCAGTGATACAGAACGCGCAGCATCCTCTCCTCCCTGCCCGGCACCGTCAGCTGTTGCTCTACGCCAGAGTGGAGGAGTGGAGAGCAGCAGAAAGGCCGAACTATGCCTCTGGTTTCCGAGCGGTAACCGATCCTTAAAGTCGACGGGGGACGCGGATGCGCGCAGAGCTCGGAACCGAACCTCCACGTGTTTTCAGCCTGTCTATCGGTGCCGGTGTAGCTGTGCCAATGGATAAGGCAGCTTCACCACCCCAGCTCCAGCTGTCCATAGCGAAGACAGAAAGTCCAGCTGAGGACATCTCCGGACTGAGCGACGAGGAGATGCTGAAGTGGACCAAGGAGGACCTGGTGCGCCGGCTCAGGCGCTCCGAGGCCGACAAGATGAGCGTGATCCTGGACCACGGGAACCTCATCCGAGAGGTCAACCGCAGCCTCCAGCTGCACCTAAACGAGATCAGGGGGCTGAAGGTGAGGGCGCGCGCACCGGGGAAGGATGAGATCATCAGTTTTGGAGCGCACCTGAGAACGCGCACAGTGCCAGGATGCTCTGCGTGAGATTAGATCCTGCAGAAGTTTAGTGTGGCTTTGTGTAGGTAGGCCTGAGGCAAACCTGCAGGCAGAACTGTTCAATCTGCTGAGAACTTTATTAGAATGATGCTTTCGAGCAAAATCAACAAGTGCTAATTCAGCTGATTTAGATTCAACCAAGCTGCAGTTCATTTAGGTGCAGACATGTGTTGTTGCACAGATTAAAATGATTCATAAACACTAAACATAAAGGCAAAACACATAAAATATAGAAAACAGATTGATCACACGTCTGCTCACCTAAATGTCATTACATTTCAATTGTTACTAGATAATTTTATTTTCTGCAAAAATGAATGCTGAATGATTTTGCTAAAATGTGCCAAAGAAGCCGAAACTGAGACTTTAAAACAACAACAACAACAGCAAAAGCAGAACAATAGCTAAAAGCTAAAATAAGCAAAACTCTAGCTTAAGGGTAAAATAAGAAAAACATTAACGTTAGCTAAAAGCTAAAGTTTAAAATGGTAGGGAAAAAGCTAAATTGTAGCTAGAAGTGAATTGTTAGAAATGGATAGCTAAAAACAGGAAAAACATTGAAAGCTAAAAACAACTTAGAGGGTAGGAAAAGCTAAAATTAGCAAAAGACTAGCAAAAGGCTAAAAGTAGCAAATGATAACAAAAAGCTAAAAGAACAGGGCAGTAGCTGAAAGATAAATGTAGCAAATCACTTGTTAAAAACAACAAAATATCAGCTAAAAGAAGCAGTGGGCTAGCTAATAATAACAAAAAGCTAAAAAATAGCTAAATGTTGCCTAAAATGTAGAAAAGAGCTTGTTAAAAAGCTCAAATTAGCAAAATAAGACAGAAATAGAGGAAGCAAAACTATAAAATTAATATATCTTTCAGGAGTAATTATTCATTCATTCTTTTTTTATTTATTTATTTTTATTAAAGAACAATGTTCTTGAAGGAATTGAAGAGACCTTAATTATTCTACTGAGGAAAATATTCATAAAGTTAAATGTATAAAAAGCAAAAGTCAGAGCATTCATCAACCTGAATGAGCCGAACATTTTGATATGCAGTATAAAAAGCTAAAAATAGCAGAAAATATTCAGAAGTTGTTCGATATCAAGAAATTTACGGTGATAAAAAAAGAAAAACAGCAAATCAATAGTAAGAATGCGGAACCAGCTTTTGCACGCATGCAAAATAAAAACAACAAACAACAAAAATGGCTTCTTAAAATGACAGAGAGGATTTAGCTGATTGATTAAATGCATTTATTACACTTGGAACCAAAAAAAAATTTCTAGCCTTTCGTTTCGACCAGATAAGGGAAAAACAAATTGTTCCTTTTAAGGGTTGTTGTTTCAGGCTAAAAGTGATGTTTATAAATGTGTTGCTCCAATATTAACGATGAAGACCTGTGCTTGGTATCCAGACCTCCATCTGTCTGCCTGCACAGGCCTCTGAAAATCCCTCCACATAAACCGCTGGATGTTTGTTTCCAGTTTAAATGCAGTTTGACTGGAGATCAATTAGCACTTGATTGTTTTTCTTTAGCAACTTTTACGTTCTCCTTCTCTACTGTGGCTGTCTCTGTGTTTACAGTTAAAGTTGCCTGAGGTAGCCCAGCAGCACGTTGGGATCATTTGCCTCACTCGGAGACCTCGTCACCTCTAGCCATTCAAACGGCTAATTACAGTGAAAAAAGCTGCAGGGTTTGACAGGGAGGGGAGGCGAGGGAGGCTTTACGGGAGAGATAAATGGAAGGAAATGGGAGTTTTTTTGGAATCAGAATCAGCTTTATTGTCATTGCACCCAAGCACAACGGAATTACATTTCAGTACAGCCCGTCCGAGTTAAACATAAACAAACAGACATGGGGGAGACGGAGGTGTCTGAGGCTGCGGCCTCGTGGGAAGAGCTGCCCTTTTCGTTTAAATGAGAAAAAGAGAAACACAAGGGAAGGGGAGGTATTAAAAAATAACAATTTCTCACACTTTGTCCTAGATGGGACACAGCTGTGAAAGATGCAAAAACAAAAAAACAACTCTCAGAAACAGCAACATACTGATGACATCATAATAGGTGCACGAGGAAGGCCGAGGTAGTTTGGAGGTGATGAAGTTGTGTTTAATGTTAGTGTCATTTATTTTATTATTTGTAATTTTGTTTTATTTGACGGATTAGTAAAGCCCATGTTTTTCAATAAGTAATCAAACTGTCCTTTCAGGAAAAAAACAGAGAGGTTAGGATTTCATTTTATTTTGACTGCAAATAACATTTGACATATATTTGACATTTAGAAAATTCAAAACTGATCATGAATGTAAAAATTTATCCGAGAAGCACCAGTCATGTTTTTGCCCATGACTTGCTGTATGTTGGCAAAATATCTCATGAACCACTGGACGGAATTCAGTGAAACATTTTGAAAATCTTTGAATCTAAAACTGATTTACGTTTGGATTAAACTCAACTCAAGATGGCCTCGACAGCTACGCGACCTTGCCAACACAAAAATGGCTCTAATTCAGTCAGTTTGGCAGATATTAGATTATCTTTGGTGTTGTTAGTCAATCTCAACAGATGCTCTTAATTCCAATGGAGTTCGAGAGATTTCATGATTTTGCACAAAATTGCACATAACGTCATTTACAAGGTTTGACCAAAAAAGTTATAACCATTTGTTACCAGCATGAAGAACTTAGATAAAAACTCTGACATTAAAAAGGTAGCCATTGTGCACTTCTTCAATGAATGCTAAGCATTTATCACATTTTGCTATTACTGTTTGTCATGGATTATACCTTCTCCCAGTGTGGCTCAGTTGAACTCATAATCCCTTTCCTTTTCTCAGGACATCAATCAGAAGCTGCAGGAGGACAATCGAGAGCTGCGGGACCTGTGCTGCTTCTTAGACGACGACCGTCAGAAAGGGAAGCGTGTGTCCAGGGAGTGGCAGCGCCTCGGACGTTACAGCGCCAGCATCATGCGCAAGGAGGTGACCCTTTACCTCCAGAAGCTCAAGGAACTGGAGCTCCGACAGGAAGAGGTGATCCGGGAGAATCAGGAGCTGAAGGAGCTCTGCCTGCTGTTGGATGACGAGAAGGGGGTGGTGGGTGGTGGAGTGGGTGGGGGCGGAAGTGGTGGTGGAGGGGTTGCAGGGACGGGAGGGTGCCGTAACTCAATAGACAGCCAGAACAGCTTGCTGCTGGTGCCGGGGCAAGGGTTGCTGATGAGAGACGTAGGGGACGGGAGCAGCACCTCCAGCGCGGGGAGTGCTGACAGCTCTGACCATCCCCACCACAAGCAGGCTCACCTGGCTGCAGGAGTGGGAGGGGTGATCAGTGCTGTGGAAAAGGGGAGTCCTGAACTTTTGCACAAACCCAGGTGTAGTAGCATCAGTGGAATCGTGGGTGTAATTGTTGGAGACAGGGAGGTATCCAGTCCTGATCACCCAGCTGGGCGCCACCGAAGCACGAGCCTGGAGTATCCATACACGCTTCCCCAGCTGTCCCGGCCCCGCTGTGGCTCCATATCTGTTCCCGACCACAGTCGAGTCATGCGGGGCCTGAGTCCAGAGAAATACGGACGGAACATAGGCCATCGTAGTCCAGAACAACACCCCAAGCACCATAGCTCCGATCTCGTACTGGGTCAAAGGCAGAATTTCCTGGGCCAAGGAGGCAGCGGGGAGCTCTATCAAAAGTACCAGAGGAGCAGCATCAGCACTACAGGCTGTGGGAGCCCTGAACTCCGGCATGCACATTTAGGAACTGGTGAGCATCACGAAAAGAGCTGCATGATGCAAGGTGGCAGCCCCGAAACACATCGACACCAGTACAGTATGAGTCCCGACCACGGGAAGTTTGGCAGTCCTGTGAGAGACGGGCAGAGGAGACTGGCTGGAGACGAGCTGTCACCTCATCATCGGACCATCTACAACGGCATGAATGGTAGGTGTGCGTTTGTGGTCCTGTGACATTACAGCTGGAAGCCGCAGAGAAATAAAACGATCAGGCTTTTCCTTGGAAGTATTTCCTTAAATACTTTAAAAGGGATAATCTATCGTTAAAAGGCTAGCAGAGTAATTTTTGACCTCTTCTCAACTTTTGAAGGACTGATATATTCGTTGAACTCAGCAGCATCAACACGAACAGTTTATCTTAATGCAAGAGCCACAAGCTAAACAAACATGCACAAGTGTAGAGGCTTAATATTAGCTAATGTAACGGTCTTTCTCACTGGTTGCTTGTTTTTAAGAAACTGTTTTATAAGCCCAAAAAAGGCACACTTTTGACTAGCTATTAGCCTAGCCTGGATAAATGGTAAATGGCCTGTACTTATATAGCACCTTTCTATCTTAAGACACTCAAAGCACTTTACACTACAATCTGTGCCCTCATTTACCCATTCATACAGCACTCTACTAGATCTCAACAAAGCTAATTGAACAGACTTGCGTCTTTCTCCATACTCCATGCTCAGCGACTGACTTCACTACTGAGAAGGTACTAATTATTCTAGAGCAAGTGTACATTTTTATGTTGGTTTCAAGCATCATGACGAAAAGCTAACAGGAAGACCCAGCTTGCTGATAGAAAAAAAAAATACAACAAAATAAATGTATGAGGGGATGAGACAGACCTAGCGGCCCAATCTGTTTGACCTTGAAAACAGCTTAATTGTAGGATGTCATCAGCCTTGGAGAACAACTGTTCTCAACTTCTTGTTTTTCTTTGGGCTGCTCCTTTCTTCATGGGTTGCCACATTGAGTGAACTCACATGAAAGATTTTAGCAGTGGTGGAGAAAGTACTCAAGCACTGTACTTAAGTAAAAGTACAAATAAACAGACAAAAATGTACTCCAGTAAAAGTAAAAGTACCACATGAACGTTTTTACTTAAGTAAAAGTAAGTGCTTTCTTTTAAAAATACTTAAAGCATTAAAAGTAAAAGTACTTGCTGTATGTATTACCTAATACACTGGTCTACAATAGCATTAAGTGTGCCTGCCATATGTATATTTTCTGCAATACATTAATAGTGTTGAGCCATTTTAATGAAGAATGCTGCAGATAAAACATGTTTTTATTGTGTTTACTCTGAGACACAATTCACACTTGGACTTGTGATTCTGTGCGTCAGAATTTCAGGGATGACATGCAGAGTTAAATACCATTAAGCAAAATAAGAACGAGGAATGATTTTACCTTTGTAAGTTTTTATTTAATACAAATCAAAACCAATGTGTCATTTTAACTGCATTAAACACGTTTAAGTAAAAGTTGTCTGTCTGAAAAAAGGAGCATTAGACCTAACAAAGGAATAGACTCTGATCATTTCAAATCCAGTTTGTCATCAACTCTAGTTAAAATACTGTCTAGTCGACCTTGTAATAGGTCAACAGTGAACATTTTAACTTCCTGACACCATTTTCAAAACTTGGACCTGAGTTGGAGACATCTCTTGTCTCATGTCCTAACATCCCATGAACTGACACATTTCAATATTGCAGGAAGAATTTCTTGTTCAAGTCCAGAAGAAGCTGGTTTTCAAAGGTTTTTGAGTCCAGTCTGGCTCTTTTTCTAGAGAGAATCTGTTCTGCTGTAATGAATAGTCTTCCAGTAATCTTTCAATAAGGCCATGGGTGGTGCATATTTTCTGGCTGACTCTTCACAGTGGAATCCATTTTGGGTGTGTTAGTGGTGCTGTGGGTGCTCCCAGCTTAATGACATATATACTAGAATATAGGTCACTGGCCCAGCTCTTCTTGAAGGCGGGTCTAACGTTACCTGCCCACTTTTCAGTGATTCAGTGGACCAACTCCCCTCTCTCCATTGGTTACTTTCAAACAAACAAACAAACAAACAAACAAACAAACAAACAAACAAACGTAACGTGAATGTAATGTGTAACGCAACACATTATAGAAACGTAGTGTAGTAGAAAGTATAGATACTTAATGTAAAACATAGTGGAGTAAAAGTCGAAAATACCAACATTCAACTCTACTTAAGTCAAGTACAGATATATGAAAAATGTACTTAAGTACAGTAACGAAGTACTTGTACTCAGTTACATGCCACCACTGGATTTTTGTTACTATTTTATGCCAGATGCACTTCCTGAGGCAACATGGGCTCAAACCTGAAGCCTCAGGACTACCAGATTGCGGCACTCACCACTGAACTACCGTAACCCCGTTTCTTCTTAAAACATTTAAAAGATTAGTTGGACATAACAGTATTAGGATTCTCTTACTTGACTGAAAGAAGTCAATCTCCTTATTCTGGCTGTGGTGAAAAGCACAACATTGTTGATCTTTGTTAGCTTCTTAAGAAGAATGCCTCAAAAAGTTTAGAAATGTATGTTACAAGTTGAAAATATTACATTTAGGTTATCAGTGCTCAAACTTTGGTATAATATTTCATCTCTTGCAACACAATAACACAAACCTTTACCAAAGAATGAATTAATGTCGAAGCTTGACTCGAGTCTGGGCCATCTCGGGCAGATCAGTGGGCGTAATGGATGTCAGAGTGGAGGAGGGAAAATCAAAGAACTAACTTGGCTGTTGTTTAAATACCCAGCAGTGGCTGGTAATGATTTCTGGAGTCCGAGGGAAAAAGTGCTGAGTGGCACAGAGCTCTCAGATGCTAAAGGACAAATTCCTCAAGGTGAAATATCAGCCTGACTTTGCAATTTGAGGCTGGAATAACAAGAGGAACACAAAGAAGGACTTTCACTACTTGTGTACTTTTAAAATAAGTTATATACAAGTATTTACCAGTAAGTTCACAGACAGAATACCGTATATAGATAAATTGCTGATATTGAATGTTTTGTTGTACTGAATAGTGGTAATGTTAGACTCTAAATATAATTTAGGACAGAGATTTCATCTTCACTGCTTTTGACTTCCTAAAAAAAAAAAAAAAAAAAACCCAGCAAAGACCAGGGACACCGACTAATTGGCTGTAGTATACAAACAAAGAGCCTTGTCAATAGCTACACAGTTTTATTAACTTATGACCATTGTTGCTTATTATTATTATCATTATCATCATTATTATAAATAGTAGTAGTAGTAGTAGTAGTAGTACTAGTAGTAGTAGTAGTACTAGTAGTAGTAGTGTCCCCCACCTCTTGCACAGTGACTGCTGGACATGGGCACCAGTGACCCCCATGACCCGAAAAGGAAGAAGTGGGTAAAGATGATGGATGGCTTATTATTAGTAGTAACAGTTAACACCAATTATGCCTTTGGACTTTTTGTTGAAGTCTGTTTCATTTTATAAGATTTTTTTATTCACTTCAGACTTCAGACTTGGTATTTCATGAATCAAAGTGGCATCTTGACCTCCACGTTGGGAACCACTGCTTTAGGAGTTAATATGTTGGTGAAGATTCTCATTTTTCCAGGTCATGCTCAATCTTAGAGTTGATAAAGCATTTTTGAACTGATAAACCCTTCCGTATGGGAAGCAAAACGTCTTCAGCTTCAGAATAGAAGTCCATTTTCTTTGTTTTTTTAAAAAACCTTTTTTGTATTTAGGAGTTAATCTAATAATTTTTGGTTGTTGTTTGTTTTGGACTGAAGGGCAGTGATTTCTCTTGACCTGCATAATGGTAGTATTTCACAGGGTTGAGACTGTTGGAGAATAGTTGATGAGCATTATCTCCTAAATGTTTCCAAAATTTCAAAATATTCCCGGGGTTCTCAATTTCCTGGTATGAGTCTCAGTGGCTACTCTTGGCTTAAATTTTAAACTTGATCAAAATACGGTATGTCTGCCACAAATTTTCTCTTAAAATAGTCACAAAATTGTTGCAGGTGTTTCCAATTTGTCTCAAGCTCGTCTTGAACTCTTCAGAATTTAGCTTCCGTAAAGTATTTGACACCTGTATGTATGAGAGCCCTTTTGTCAGAGGCATCCAAAGCTAAAAGTCAGAAAGTCCAAGTTTAAAAACATGCACATGGTAACTAATAGTTATTTAAAAACTAGTCCAAATCTGTCTATTTTTTTCATTCAACCTTTATTTATACATCTTAGTCTCATTGAGTTACGGGGACTCATTCACAAAAGAGACCTGTTTTAAACAAAGAACACAGAACATGACTGTGTCGTCAGCATAGAAATCTATGCATCAGGAATGATCTGATCTACATCACATGTAGATTATGAAGAGTGTGGGTCCCAAGACTGAGCCTTGTGGTACACCTTTGTTGACAGACAGCTAGCTGGAAGAAGTACCGTATATTTCAGACTATAAGGCGCACTTAAAATCCTTTAATTTTCTCAAAAACCGACAATGAGCCTTATAATCTGGTGCGTCTTATATATGAATTCTTGTTGTGCTTACTGACCTAGAACCAATTTTATGTGGTTATTGTGAATGAGTTGAATAAAGTTTGACTTGTCTGACTGTTTTGTTTCACTTATTGCACCTTCTATATAAAATAGACCCGTTCGTTGATATTGCGCCTTATAATCCGGTGCGCCTAATAGTCCGAAAATGCAGAACCGTTTTGTACCAATTTGTTTCTTCAGTGCACTCTAGTAGATTAAATCATAAAGTAATAGCAATGAGTGATGGGCAGCTGCCACTGTAGGTACTAGGTGGGCAACAAAATAACGTGCACAACCTCCGTTTCATAAGCTGTGCACTCAAACATAGGCAGTGGTTTTCAAAAATTTGTCGCCCAACAAATGGCCATGCAAGTTTCTGATAGTAAATATACAGTTTAGTAAACATTCAACTAAATATTTATCCCCCCCACACACACACACACAATTTTCCACCCGTTTCAACAGCCACAGCCCAGTGAGATGCTACATTAAGGGTTAGACTCCACAGTTTTATCCAATTAAAATAGATTAAATAGATTAAGCATTTATATTAAAAATCAGTGTAGCACTGCAGCATGAGAACTTGCGGCCTAGTAGTCCACA